ATTTAATCAAAACAACATTTCACCACGATGTGGCGATAGCCTCTATGACTGATAGTTGCATAGGATATGTACGTGTCTTCCTTTGAACCTTCCATTGTGAAAGTATATTAATTTTACTGGTTAAACAGTAGAAGCGATGTCCTTGAATTGTTCTGTCGTTTTTGTAAACGATGACATACTTCACACAACTACCCCTCTGACAAGAATTTAGTTCTCATGCGTATGTTCTTAAAGTCATAGACATCTGTCTGGTTCTGCAAGAGTTTGAAAGAAATATGCTCAGTAGACTCCTTGAAGCATCCCCACTTCACTCTCACACATGTGACTTATGTTGCTCGGCTCACCGCGGAACACAATGGTCATTAAAAGCTTTTTGCTTAGTCTATACCACTTTGATCACTGTTTACATCATTGGAATGAACTTGGGATAAGAAACTCCCATAGTGACCATACACGAGTTATGCAATTAGGTTGTCCATTTGAACCTAAATCTTGGCATCTCTAGTCAACAAGGTAGGGTTTTCCTTCACATAACGCCTTTAAATTTCATGGGCTTTAGTCATATTCCTTTAGAAGTTTTCTCAACTTGATCTGATTTAACCTTTTGGTTAACGAATCCACAATGTTATCCTTTGATCTTACAAAATCAACATATATAACTCAATTTGAGATCAGTTGTCTATGGTATTATGTCGATGACGCATATGTCTTGACTTACCATTATACTTGCTAGTCACAATATAAACATACTGTGGGCACATGTTTAAGCCATTTAAGAATATCCTCCAAGAAATTTCAAAGCAATTCAGCTTATTCTCCAGACTTATCTAGAGCTTCAAACTTAGATTTCACTATGAATTTGATTATAATCATTTTCTTAAGGATTTTCGTGACACTTTTTCTTTCCAATGTTAACATATTCACTTGTGATGTTGATATTTTAAATATCAAATTCCAACTAACATCGGTCTATCCTTCTAAGAATAGGATAGTCAAAGAAAATATAATCCATCATTTAGGATTTATTTTCATTTATTTTGGTAATATGACAATTACATTCTCAAGACACCCCCACATTTTCAAGTGTTTGTATGACACAGGTTTTCAACCTTTTCATAACTCGTATGGTGTATTGTCATTTTCCTGGGGACCTTATTTAAAAGGTAATTAGTTGATATAACTTCTCTCTCCCCCACATGTTCTGTGACAACTCAGAACTTCTTAGTGTTGCGTTCATTATTCAATTCTTCCGCTTTGCTACTCCATTTACTTTAGGAGAATATAGTGATGTCACTTCATGAGTAATATCATGTTGTGCACACTTCTTACCATCTTAATTTATTTATTAAGTTAGTTTTCAACTTCATGTTTATAGAAAATAATTTTTTTCTATAACTTATTTTTACTCTTTTAGCAAATACACATTGCAATACTTTTGCTATCATCAATGAAGATGATCAAGCATTTATTCTCCTTCGTTTATGCCATTATTACGAAGTTTAAGAGCTTGGTCACTAATAATTTATTAGTACCAACATCTTTCGTTTCGTATCTATGGTTCAATTGTACACCTTATATTGTGTATCTGATAATACGTCTTGATACATTCAATACGTATTTCCAACATATGAAGTTATAATACTTCCAAAATTCGGTAACAACATTTACCTCATCCTCTCTAATAATAGAAAGATCATCTCACATTTGGTCAAATTCACCATGAGCAAATAAAATAACATCTATATGTTATCATATCTTGAAATTCTATTTATAGAATTTTACAAGTTTCTCATCGTGGCTCACAACCACCGCCAATCACGATTTCGTTTAACACTATAATTAATAACAATTCTAACAATAAACAAAAATTAATTTAGTAGTTAGAAAAAAGGTTTATTGATGTTGAGATTTAAATTTCAGTTTATTATATGCCACTTGTTAAATATGATTGTATGAATCAATAAGTTAAATATGAAATAGGTTTTAATCTCGAAGGATCATTTCTCGAGATAATAATATATTTCTATTAAGGTAGGCATGAAAGAATCTAAAAGAGATAAGTAATGGTCTTAATATTTATTTGTTGATGGATAATATTTAAGTTGAGTTGAAGAGAATAGGGTTCATCCCCTTCTCCGTTCATACTTGATGGTTTATATATTAAGCTTTAGTATTGATATCAGACTTAAGATCATGATGATTATGTCAGATAACAGATTTGATTTTGATAAATTACGTGAATCTACCAATAATTATGTCAAAAATAGATAATTAATCAGAAAACATAATAGTTTAAAAAACTATGTTCCGTGGAGGAGATATTTATATGGCCTACGTAGGCTTTGATGGATAGTACGATTTACGGAATTCATTTGGAGGAGGTACAATACTATTGGATAGAATAATAAAACTAATATTAAATTTTTAATTTTGGTCGTAACAATATATATTTCTTTATTCCTACTCCGTTGAGAATAGGTTAGCGGATCAGTTGGCGAAAGAAGGGAAGTTGAGTCAGTAGTATTGTTGTTGTTCTCGTGCTCGCGTGATTGCCATGAGGAGGATTAATTGTTTCTAGTTTTTGTTAGTGTTTGCTGTTGAGCTTTGTTGTTGGGTGATTATGTTTGAGTTGTGTTGTAGTTCTCTTGTCTTGATAGGGTGTACTCTTCTCCTTCACTTAGGATTAGGAAGGTTTTTAATGAGTCCCCTATCTCGGTCTTTTAATTTAAATAAAATCATATTTTTACCGAAAAAAATATATTTATTTATTTCAACCCCCAACTAAGCGCCTCCTGATAATTGTTAATACAATTTAATCATCTCTGAATAGATTTTAAATTTTGTAATCGGATATCAATTTCTGATGTGAGTGACCACCCAAATTATATGGACTAAATATGAAGTAGGTTTTGAATAGAAGGAAAACCCTTTTCAGGTGTCCCATGGAGCTTTGCTAAAACCCATTTTTAAGCCGAAAAGTATCGACCCTACCTATCTACTTTTTACCTTTAAAATTTATCGGATAATTTAAATAAATATTCATAAAAGTTACAAAAAAAATTAAATACATCCCCACCCTTTTGATAATTATAAATTTATTTTAAAAATAATTAAGTGAAGACTGGCGAAAATCGATTAAAAAATTTGTTATGGAAAACATTGATGCAGACAAATAAGGCTGCAAAATATATGACCACATGAATGGAATCCATATAAAAATCATCACCAAAGAAAAAAAAATGTAATTAATTAAGAAAAGAAGGTGAGCCAAAGGCAGGTATCCAATGATTGGATATGAAAAAAAAATAAAAAGCACCTCTTAACATTGTCTTTTTGTCTAATCATTAGCCAAGGAATAAGCTTCAATTTGATTCCATTTTATTTTTTGGTTTATCCCAAATCTATATTATCGAGAATGATATATTATATAAGTACACCAAACATTGATAACCAATTAGTATAATTAAACAATCACGAACTTGTTGCGTCCTCAAAGTGAGCTTTGTTAGCTTATAAATCCACATAATTTTTGTAACCCCATAATTATTCATGGATTAGGTTAGATTTTTATTCCGATTTTATCTTTTTAAAACAAAAATTAATCGAGTTTAAGTTATATTTTAGGGATATAGTACACAAATTGTCCCCGACTATAGGGTACTGCTTTGTTAAGTCCATCGACTATAGAATGTTGTTTTGTTGAGTCATTCGGCTATTCAAAGTTATAAAATGACGATATTCTGAGTTAAATGTTAACAAGTTGACTGTGATGTGATAAAATTTGATACCGGAATCTCAAACGACAATCATATCACAATCATCATGGTAACGTCTAGCTTAGACAACCGTTAATTTTTTAACGAAAAATGATGAGTTTGAAACATAATAAATAGTCGAGTGACCATTTTGTAACTTTGAATAGTCGAGGGACTCAACAAAGCAACATTCTATAATCGATGGATCATTTTGTAATTTTTAATAGTTGAAAAACTTAAAAAAGTAGTATCCTAATCGGAGACCATTTGTGCACTTTACCCATATTTTAACTGATGGACGGAATTAAAATTTTAAAATTAATAAATATCTCAAGAATATAAGACGATAAAATTGAAGTATGGAGTTACTTGATTGAGATGCAAAGATTTTCCCTTGGATAAGTGAATATGGTATGTTAAAGTGATGATTACACGTCATTTCATGTAAATATGAATTGCACGTCATAAAAATCATGGTTAACAGTAGATAATTTTGGTGAAGTTAAAATGATCATCAGATTTTCAAGTGACAATAATCACAGTCTACATCAAGTAGGATAGAATTTATCATCATCTCTTTGTTGGTATTAACAAAAGAAAATATTTAGGTTGTTAGGTTTCTTTTAGAATTATGCAGTTCCTATTGAGAAATAGGGATCCCATTCTTTTTTATTTTCTATCGGAATAATTGTTTTATTCCTATTAATCATACGAACAAGGAGTTTTATTTGTTTTAAAAAAAGGAGTATTTATGAATCTATAGAGTGATCTCAATCGTAAAAGTGAATATAATTTTTTTAAATAATTTAGATTCGAGTAGTTGTGTCTGTAAGAAGTATTTTTAATTATTAGACGAATTTTCTCATAAAAATGTTATTTAAAATAAGAAGAAAATTCGAATAAATAAGAAAAAAAAGGAGTTTTCTTGTGTAATGATGTTGGAACCTTGTTTTGTATGTCTTGTTTCTTTAAAAACAGCGCGACGACATAAATTCTATGCAATTCTCCAGATCATGACAAGGCATAGTTTTTTCCGAACAAAACGAAACAAACACTAAAATCCATACAAGAATATTTTACATCATAATTGCATCACTAAATGTTAATTACACATCACAGTTTATGTTTAAAAATTGCATAAAAAGAGCCATACACTTGCTTTACACTATAGCTCAACTCCAAAATGTTTATTTATTTACATATACACCTCAAAATATATTTTCGTAATTACGATTCTATATATATATATATATATATATATATAGTACGAAAAAGACCTAAATATAATAGTATGGGCAATATTTTAGAATTCAAAGCTTTGTACTTGGCCATTTCTGAACTCAAATGAAATTGAGTTCTGCAAAGTTGTCTAAAGAGTCAAAGGGAGCCTCTCCAAGCCATGGAGGACACCATAAGAAATCTCTTCACTCTAAACGGCCAAGCCACTGCTCGGTTCTTCCGCTACGACCGGTCGATCAGCTCGAGCAATGGCCGTCAGCAACGGTAGACATGTACAACAGCGACAACAATCATCATCATCATCATTGTCATCAGCAGCAGCAGCAGCAGGCTCAAACTAGCCACACATCAACTAGCCGTTCATCGGACTACTTGGCCGGTGGTCGCGGAGACAGCGGGGAGGCTAGCGGCGCGGGTGACAAATGGGCATTGAGGCTTCTAAAGGAATGTGCTAGAGCCATCTTCGACAAGGATTCTAGCAAAGTCCATCACCTTCTTTGGATGTTGAACGAGTTGGCTTCACCTTATGGAGACTGTGATCAGAAACTAGCTTCGTATTTCCTGCAAGCACTGTTTTGTAAGGCTACCGAATCGGGACGACGATGCTTTAAAACCCTAACTTCGGTTGCCGAAAAGAGTCACTCCTTCGATTCTGCTCGGAAGCTAATCCTTAAGTTCCAAGAGGTGAGTCCATGGACAACTTTTGGTCACGTAGCCGCCAATGGTGCAATTTTGGAAGCCTTAGATGGTGAATCTAAGCTTCACATCATCGACATAAGCAATACCCTCTGCACTCAATGGCCGACTTTGCTCGAAGCGTTGGCCACTCGAAACGACGACACCCCGCACCTGAAGCTCACCGTCGTCATCACCGAGAATATCGTAAGATCGGTTATGAAGGAAATAAGCCAGCGGATGGAGAAGTTTGCTAGGTTAATGGGTGTACCCTTTGAGTTTAATGTGATAAGTGGACCGAATCACTTAGGTGAACTCACCAAAGAGGCACTCGGCGTTCTCGAAGACGAAGCCGTCACGGTGAATTGTATCGGAGCCTTGCGGAGAGTATCCGTCGAGGAAAGAGCCTCTGTGATCCAGATGTTCCGGTCACTAGGGCCTAACGTCGTGACGTTTGTCGAGGAAGAAGCCGATTTTTCAACCACTCGACACGACTTCGTCAAATGCTTCGAAGAATGCCTTAAATTCTACACTTCCTACTTCGAAATGCTCCAAGAATCCTTCACTGCAACCAGCAATGAGAAGCTTATGCTCGAGAGGGAGTGCTCGAGGAGCATAGTTATGGTTTTAGCTTGCGACGACGACCAAGACAACGAAGGCGAGTGCGAGAGAAGAGAAAGAGGGACCCAATGGTCCGAAAGACTCAACCAAGCTTTCTCGCCGGTTGGGTTTAGCGACGATGTTGTCGACGACGTCAAGGCGTTGCTAAAACGGTACAAAGCCGGATGGGCACTCGCACAACCACATCAAAAAGAAACAGGACTTTACTTGACATGGAAGGAAGAACCAGTAGTATGGGTATCAGCATGGAAACCCTTGAAACATAGCCAAAACTACAGAAACTGAACCATTTGGCACTGCATTTATGCTAGAATTTGGAAGCAAATCAAAACATGCAGAATGGAGTTCATTGCTTTTGCAATTATCTTTCTTTTGATCATTTCATATATATCATATATAGATGTAGTTACATATATGCTTGTATTTTATTTAATGTTTACTTTTTTTCAGCTTTATGCTTTGGAGTTTGTGATGTTCCTTTTTTTTCTGATTTAGATCATTATTCTTGTTTGAAGGTGTTTGAGTTTATGCCTCTGTCGTCTCCATGACAATATCCCACTGCTTCCCTGTATTCATTTTCCTTATATTTGGTTCATCAATTTATCATAATTTTGTATATATATATATATATATTATGTATTATAAGTTTAAAATAAAAATACAGTAATATTTTTCTAATAGTATGAGATGATTATAAGGTAATATTATATTATAATTTTTTATTTATTAATAATGTACATATACACATCAACTGTTTGAATTCGAATACTTTAAGATGAACAATATTTCTTTTACAGGAATGCATATCTCAATTTTACAAATGAAACAGGAATACATATCTCACATTAGGATGTTTTGATATAAATATTAACTACTAAACTTAATAAATAAAAAAAGGAAAAGCATTTATCCTACGAAAATAGTCATAATCATAAGCTTGTTGTAGTTTTTCTTTATCTTTTTATATGGTTATTCTATAGATTGAGAAATTATTTAATATTAGATAAATAGAAATTTTGACATGAATTGTTACATCAGTGATGAAATAAATGATGATTATTTTTAGAGATTTTGTATTCGATTATCAGTGATTGTAGAGTATACTAAATATTTATTATTAAGTAGTTGAGAGTTTTTAAATAAATACTACCATTGGTAACTAGCCTATACTAATAAATATATATATTTGAAGTTGTATCAGTTGATATATGTACATGCATGGAAAGATGTTTTTAAGATCAACTTATTTCCAAAATGAGAAATATGTATATATATAATTATAATTCTAATTAGGTAAGATTAAATCGTCGCCCCGCAAATTTAGTTAACTCAATTAACATTGTTATTTTTAATATAATTATCAGTATCTGATTTATTGATCGATTAATATAGATCGGGTATTGCAGAGGCAATGGCAACTCTCCCAACCCAATTTACTTCATTCGCAATCGCTAAGATTTGAACCTCTGACGTTGCTTAAGAAATCTAGTGTCTCGTTCCACTAAATCAACTAGTTGGTGGTATTAACATTGTTATTAGTTATAGGAATTTTAAATGTTAATATATCAAAAATAAAAACTTTTAAATTAATATAGCCAAACAGAAAATCAATAATATATGAAAGAGTTAATTGCATTATATACTATGACTTTAAACTATATTTTCATTTTTAATTGGTCTTAAACTTTTGAATATTCTAATTTAATCTCTATACTATGACTTTGACTCTAAATTAGTCTTTAAACTTTTAAGCATTCCAATTTCATCCGTAAACTATTATCCTCTATCTAAATTGGTTGTCAAACTTTTGAATTTTCCATTTTCATCCTCAAATTCATCCAAATCTGTAATTAGTTTCAACAACAATTTAACCTAAATTATATTTTTTTCAAACATATAATAATATAACTTAGCCTCACAGTTTTATTAACAAGTGATGTGATTAGTATATACATATAATTTGGGATGAAATCAAAATGCTAAAAAAGTTTAGGGACCAATTTAAAATGAAGGTCATAGTTTGGGGATGAAATTGAAATGTTCAAAAGTTTGAGGACTAATTTAGAATGATGCTCATAATTTAGGAATGAAAATAAAATATTTAAAAGTTTGAGGATGAAATTGAAATGTTCAAAAATTTGAGGATCAATTTATGAATGAGACTGATATTCATATTTTTTAGGACATGTGATGAATTAACTCTATACATTATAATTATTGATGGAATAAATGGATTGTGGTGGTGATAAGCTTTTCATTCTTTTTTATTTAAGTAGGATCAGGTGGAAAATCGATCAATTGTTAGTGTAAAGTATTTTATCTTCGTAAGGAGGTAAAAAAAGACAAGTGAGAGTAAGATGATTCTATTTGGTTCTATACATTCTCTTGAACTTGATTGAGATGTTTTATAGTGTCTTGGAGCTAGTGCCAAATTAGGGTCACTATGATTACTCGTAGACTAACATGTTAAACGGATATGGTTAACTGACGATAGAATTGGCTATGGTAGATCATATAGGTCTGTCAGATATCATGTCAATAATTTGTATTTTTAGGGATGTTAGATATTTGATATCCATCTTCTAGTGATATTTTTTCCTACATCTTTCAGAGTTCTTGAGGTTCATTATTCAGAAGTGCTTTTTGAGACGTAGGAGTGGAGATTAGGGGTGTGTAAATTCGGATATCAAATTCGATTTGATTTAAAATTTTCAGATACCTAAAATAGCGATCCACATCCGATCCGAAAAAATGAAAAAATCAAATATCCAAAAAAATTTATCAAATCTGGATCCTAATATAAAATTAAATTTAACAAAAATTAATTTTAAATTTTAAATTTTTTGATTTAATGTAATTTATTCGATAATTCTATTATATTATATATATAATTACTATTGTCACGCCCAATTTATGGGCTAAAATTTATTGATTTAAGTAAATTTAAGGGACTAAATTGTAAGTTTTAGAAACTTGCAGCTCGGGTTTAAACTCTGAGAAGTTTAGAGACTTAACCTCAAATTTTCCCATTTTATGTTAAGTGAGAAAAATAAATCTTCCCCCTATCGAAAGCAAAATTCCCCAAATTAATTCCCAATACCCCAACCCTAACCACCGCCTCTTCACCGTGTTTCGCTCCGATCCGACCATTGTTGCCGTGCGCTGACCCTACCAAATGATCGACAACCTCCCGCGACCATAACCTCTCATTTTTCTCATTGAGATCGGCCGCCAATTGTCGTGGAAGAGTCGAAGAAGCACCGTCGAGAAACCTCCCTGTCGCGTCAGTTTTTTGCTCGATTATGGCTGATTCAATGACTGTCTCGTCTCAGCATCATCACCAATGTGTTCCCTAGCCTGTTTCGCTCAAAACCGACCAGTGGGTTGCGTTAACACTGCCGATTTCCCTCCATTGCAGCGTGGGTAAGTTATAGATGTTTTCGGTTATTTTGGCTTGGTTGGTTGATATCATTGGTTTAATTTTGGTTGGAATTGGTGTGTAGATGCTCATGGAGTAACCAGACGACCGCCCCGAGCCCGTCGTCGCCGTACACGCGTCGCTGTACGCGTGTGGGACTTTCTTCTCAACCGAGGCTTCTGAAAAATTAAGTCAACTCAATTGAGTTGGCCGAGTCAGCTGAGTTAACTCGTGAGTCAACCCCTTAAGTTAACTCGGACAAAATCAACCTGATCTGACCCGTTGACTTTGACCAGAGTTGACTGGTCTAACCATTGACGGTTGACTTTGACCCAAAAAGTCAAAATTCTTGAAAAGACTTATTTTATGTTTTTCGACATCCTAAGTCCGAATATGGAGTCCATTTTTCCAAATTCGCACTCGGTAACCTGTTTCTTAGTGTTTTACCTTCGGATTCAATTTGGTTTCTCAATTAAGTTCAATTTCTAACATAAATTTGGTTGCTATGTGTTGAGTTAATCGATTGACGGAATCGGCCAAGAGGGGGTGAATTGGCAATTAAAATTTTTGTGGAAGATTTTGCAGAAAATTGAAAGTAATTGCACAGCGATTTACAGTGGTTCGACTTTCTCAAATAAAGTCTACGTCCACTACCTTAGCTATCCACACTAAGGATTTTCCAACAAATTCACTAATTTGTTCTTTCTTTTGAGGCCAAAGAGATAACCTTACAATTCCCTCAAGAGTATACCCCAACTCTTGAGAACACTCTTTTTCCCAAAGAGAAGATTACAAATTTGCAAACTTACAAGAAAACCTCACAAGGTAAGATGTTTGCACAATTCTAGAACAAGAAAAGAACACTCAAAGAAAATTACAAATGAGCACAATAAGTGTTCTTTGAAAGCAAAATGAATATTGAATGAAAATTGGCTTGAATTGCACAAACTTTGTGTTTGATGCTTTCTCTCTTGTTTCTCTATGATTTCTTGCTGATCAAGGGCTTCAGAACTTGTTTAAATACACATTGAATCACTTCTGAACGTTGGGGATAATTAATGAAGATAATATAGCCGTTTTAGTATGAAAACAATTAATAAAACAGCTTGGAGCGTGGGGGGAATCGGTTCCTCCTTATAGGGAATCGGTTCCCTAAGTGTAAAATTCAAATATTTCGACCGTTGAACAGGGGGAATCGGTACCCCCTATGGGGGAATCGGTTCCCTCCGAGCATTTTGGAAATCTCGGAGTCAAACCATTCAGGGGGAATCGGTACCCCTATGGGAGGGAATCGGTTCCCTCTGAGCAATCTGGAAATTTTGGGTTTGAAATGGTTCGAAATACTTTGAAAGATTATTTTGAAATTGTTTTAAGATTAAAAACTTAATTTTACACTTAAGTAAGGATTAAAAATGATTTTTGAAATATTTGGAGTAATGTTTTTATATTCGAATAAATTTATCGAACATACTTTAGAAAATCATTTTGGAAAATCTTAAATTCATTTAACTTAATTTATATCGAAATATCAAAATGTTTTCAACAATCTCCCCCTTTTTGATATAACAAAACATTTTAGTAATTTTAAGATTTTGAAATCAAGTTTTGAAATTACTCCCCCTTACTTTAACACTTCTCCCATTTATCATTTTAAAAACACACACTTAAACACACTTCTTCTCCCTTTTTGTTAAATCAAAAAGATTCAAATAAACGTGAAAATATTAAGCCATTTGATTAGGTATATGTATGCATAAGCTGCTAAGATCACAATTAAGAGAAACGTTAGCCATTAGTTCCGTAATCAATATTCATAAATAATGTGATATGGCAAAATTGGTCTATTGCTAATAATGATGTAAATGATGCAATAACGAATAAAACACACCAAACATATAAGTTCACACTATCCATAAATCCAAAATCCAACAATCCACAAAATCAAACAATTCAAAATGTTGAAACAATATTCATTTTGTTCAAAGTTGTAAAGCTAAACACAAAATCAAGCATCCGGATCGGTGGGAGGAAAACGGGCTCGCATAGCAGCCATTTCATGAGTTAGTTCATTAATACGAGCATTGGTTGCTTCATTGTTTGCACGC